GGTGCTAACCTGTTCTTTACTGCGAGTGCAAGTTTTCTAGTGTCCTTTCAATCCACATGCTGTTCAGGATGCAGACCGTCCCCTGTCTCAGAGCAACGAATTGACTAGAATGGGAGGTACAAATGAGTTTGCACTAGTGTTTAGTACCCTGTAAGAGCATGCACCTATCTAGCTTATAATAACATATACAAATATGTTTGACACACCCCCTAAGCTAGATGAGGGGCAGTGGCACCAGTGTGTAGTACCCTCTAAGAGCATGCACCTATCTAGCTGATAATAACATATACAAATATGTTTGACACACCCCCTAGGCTAGATGAGGGGTAGTACCTCGCAAAAGACACTCAACTCAAGTTTGCACTACTAGTTCAACCTCTGAGGCAAGGATCTGACCAGTCAGCAAGAGTACAAACTAAACAAGAGTGACCCAGGGCGGCACTACTAGTCCAGCCACAGGAACAAGAGCCACAAGGCCAATCAAGATAACATAAGAAGTACACAATCAGGGTCCTAGCAAGTGAGAAGCTACAGGAACTAGACCTAGCTGTACACAGTGTCGCGGATGATCTTTAGGCGCAAGTGCCTTCGTAAAGATATCAGCTGTGTTGGCACCCAATGCCAAGTGTACTACGCGAGCTTGACGGCGCTGCTGTAGCTCACGCAGGAGGAAGTACCGCTGCTGGATGTGCTTCGCTCTGCCCTCTAGTCGAGGCTCCTGACACTGGAGGATCATGGCCCTGTTGTCAGCGTACAGGACCGGGGCAGAGCTAAGCCGCTCATCTAAGTCTGTGAGCAAGAACGTCAACCAACAAAGCTCACCCTCACAACTAGACTGTGCAACAGACGACGAGCGGGTGGACCTCAACGAGATGGCATCTGCACAAAGGCTAAACCAGTAGCCCTGGGAGGACCTGAGCGTCTCAGCGTCGTCTGCCCACGAAGCGTCTGTGTGCCCTGTAAGGCCCACTGGCCTGCGTTCTCCTAGCACTAGCCCCATGCCCGATGTAGTTGCTAGATAACGCAAAACCCTCCTAGTGGCCGACCAGTGTTGTGGTCGGTGTCTGCCTATGGCCACAAAGCGAGCCGGGATGCTGAGAGGGTATGCGAGATCTGGACGAGTGCAAGTCATCATGTACATGAGGCATCCCACCAGCTCTGCGTACGGACCATTAGGCTCTACTGACACCTCAGGGACTGGAGCCGAGAGCCTATAATCTACTGGCAGAGGTGTGGGCTGTGCAGAGGAGAACTGATGAGCGAACCTCTGAAGGACCTGGCGCACCAAATGTGACTGTGTAAGAGTGATGGTGCGCGCTGCTCTGTCCCTGGAAATCTGCAAGCCAAGGTAGCGGCGCAGCTCTCCTAGGTCAGTGCACGTGGGTCTCCTCAGCAGTTCGGCCTTCATGGAGGCTAGTGCGTCTCTATCTGCAGTAGCGAAGGCTGGGTCGGCTACGTAGACAAGGATGTAGAACGGGGTATGGCCAGAATGAACGAAGAGAGAAGGGTATGCAGACAACAGGAGGAACTGCAGGTCAGCTAACATAGCACGCACCGTGTCGTGCCACTCGCGAAGAGCCTGCTGCAGGCCGTAAACCGGGCGCCGGAGGAGCCACAGGGTCCCAGAGGCGAAGGTGCTGGTGAAGTCTGGCGGGCGGCAAAGGTAGACCTGCTTGTGCAGACTGCCCAAGAGAAACGCTGTAGAGAAGTCGAGAGAGTGCAACTCGCAGTCACGCATTGTTGCCAAGTGTAGCAGCGCCGGAAAAGTAGTCATCTTTGTGGTCGGAGCGAAGGTCTGAAAGAAGTCAACACCCTCGCGTTGACTGAAGCCTCTAGCAACGTGGCGCGCCTTGAACACAAGTGGCTCTCCAGGAGGGCGCTTCACCTTGAAGAGCCACCGACCATCGACTACGTTCACCCCAGGTGGGGAAACTCCGTCGACGTAGGTGCCGGTGGATCTCTAAGATGCAATCTCCTACTACATGGCAGCTATCCACTGAGAGGCCCAGGGTCCCGAGGTCGCCTCATTGTAAGTGTGAGGGGTCGAGATGTCAAGGGCGTCTGGGTCACCCTCAGGGACTAGTAGCATGGAGCAGAGAAGAGGAGCGGTCTCGGAAAGGAAAGCAAGCTTGTATTGCCGGTCCTCCAAGACGTCTCTGCCAAGGGCAAGAGCACCCCCGACGGACGGAGGACTGGCCGGTTCAAAGATCAGAGTGGAAGCGTAGTCAAGGCGGTGGAAAGAAGCAAAGTCAGCGACGGCAGAGACAAGAGCAGAGAGACTCGAGACAGGATCAGATGGGCCAGAAACGAGGGAGGCAAGGACCCGATGAACAACTAGTGACCTGAAGGAAGTCAGACAGAGGAGGCGGAGCGACAACAAGCGACGATGATGGAGGCGACGGGAAGAGGGGAGGACGAGACGTGTGGGAACAAAGCAACATAGGGTGACAACGTTGAGCAGGAGAGACAGGACGAGCACAAGCGGCACGGTGAGACCACCAGCGGGAGGGGGGGGTCGGGTGAGGAGACAAGGGTGGAGAAACAGGAGGAGAACAGGGGGGGGGGACGAGTCGGAGACGAGTCCCGCGGAGGAAACATAGAGCCGTAGACACGCGGGGAAGGTGGCGGCTGAGGAGGCGCAGGTGGGTGGTCAGGGGAGGGAAGACCTAGAAGACGAAGGGCGGCGACTGCTGCTACTGCTGCACACCGATACCAGGCCCTCCAGCTGCACGACGGCTACCTTCGGGACGCTCCACGACAGCACCCCCAGAACGAGAACCCTCTCCAGCACCAGTGCCACCCCCGGAACTCTCTCCACGACAGTTTCCCCAGGACTAGCACCCTCCTCAACGCCCGTTCCCCCAGAGCTCGCGGACCCCTGCGGTGGCTACTTTTGCGGCGGCGGCGACTGCGGCTGCGACGGCGGCGACGGCTACTGCTGCAGCGACGGCTGCTGCTGCTGCAACGGCGACGGCGGCTATCGCTGCGGCGGCGGAGGAGGAGACACTGAGGTGGAGACATGCGGCGAAAGTGAAGCCGCAGGACCCCCAAGAGTCAGCCGACTCCTCCACCGGGACAACCGATGGGGGGGGAGTGACGCTAGACACACCAGATGGGGTAGGACAGGGAGGAAGAGGAGCAAGGGCTACCGGGGGCGTGGGGACCAAGAACAGGGGCGGGGAAATCAGGAGAGCTCGGTGGGGAAAGCGGGTGTAGAAGGAGACAGACTCGTCAAAAGTGACGTCGCGAGAGTGAGAAACGGTGAGACGGCAGGTGGTAAAAGTGCCTGTCAGACGCGTGTAGGGGGAAACCAAGGAAGACACAAGGGACAGTGCGGGCAGTGAGCTTGTCCGTACTGGAAGCACAAACGTGAGTGAGGCAGCCCCAGACGTCGAACGTTGACGCATCACCCAGGGACTCGGTCCAGAGAAGGGTCGGCGAAACCTGCGGCCGCTGAGAGTGTGGCCACAGGTTAAGCTGGTGAGCGGCGTAGCGAACAGCGAACGGCCACAGAAAATGGGATGCACCATCATGGATCATGGATGTATGAGCCACCTCCATGACCAAACCGTTCGTCGCTCAACGACCCCATTCTGATGGTGGGAAGTCTGACAGTGTGTACGACTGGGTGATGCCCTCCGGACGACAGAACTGGCTAAGCCGACCGGAGGCGAACTTGCCGCCGTGGTTGGAGTGGAGACGAAGCACGGGCAGGCCATGGTGGACTCGCGCAGCTACGAACCACGGGATAAGAACGTCAGGCACATCTGCCTTCCGCTCCAGGGGAAATACTGTGGTGTAGCGTGTGTAGTCGTCGACGAGCACTAGAAAGTAGCGCTCTCGAAGCGGCCCAGGGACGGGGGCTCGGCCCCAAACGTCCAAGTGCAGGGTCTGGAGTGGCAAAGTGGTGGGGGGAAACGAGGAGGAATGACAAGCACGGCGCAGCCGGCCCTCGACGAAGGGCGTGCACGGCGGCGCGGGGGAGGGAGGAAGGGCAGGGGGCGACACAGGGAGACCTAAGACAAGACCATGTTGGGACATGTGACGGAGACGCGGGAGTGCGGGGTGACCTAGGCGATGGCTCAACAACAAGGACGGGTGAGTGAGCGACCGACACGAGCATGCCGCAGCAACCTGGGAGGGCGTGGCCACTTGGAGGGATGCTCCCACCGGGGGGGACGCGGTGTCTAGGGTGAACAAACCAAGCACCGGGCCCTGGGGGAACGTGGTGAGGGGGTTACCAGTGGCGGCCTCGGTATAGACCACGTACCGCTTGTGTCCAGGGAACGTAGTGGTGACGCTGAGGTCCTGAAGACAGCAGACACCAACAAGGTTCCTGGAGAACGAGGGGATGTGCAAGCCTGCCCCAGGGAACCGCCGGACAGGGAAGGGTGGTGGAGCTACAGTACATGCAACTACTGGACCTGAGGAGGGGTCAGCAAGCGCTACAACGGCAGGTGCGGCAAGTGGCGTGGGTGCAGTGTGACCGCGAAAGAAGCAGGCGGACGCACCTGAGTCTAGCGTGAAAGAGAGCACGGCAGTAGCAGCTGCAAGAGGAGGAGCTGGCGTGGAGCCGAGGCTAAACAAAGCGGGTGGTCCTATGCCTGATGCAGCAAGGGAACCTAGGCTACACACCGTGGACATATGTACTCTAGGCAACACAGGGTAGTAGGATCCAGTCACACTAGAGTCACCTGCATACATGACATATATGGCAGACCTAATCTGATCCATATCAAGCTCAATGACATGGACACAGCGACGCACCGGGCTGTACCAGTCGGGGAGGTCCGACTTGGGGCCGAAGCGGAGATGGAAGAGGTCATCGAGGCGGCGGTAGCACCAGGCGGCGGTGTGACCGGGACTGACGCAGACGGTGCCGCGGCGGGGGCCGGACTGAAGCTGGTACTGGCAGGTGACCACAATGGAACCGCCACCCGACACCGAGCTGCACAGCCCACTACCACGACGACGACCACCACCGCTGCTAGGCCATTACAGCGGCGGGGGTCCCCACGGCTGCTACTGCTGCTCGTGCTGCTGCCCCGGGGCATCAGCCCTGGTCCCCTCGTCTGCCCCACCGTCCCCATCACCACCTCCGCCACCTCCGCCACCTCCGCCACCCCCACCACCCCCGCCACCCTTCCCTCCGCCACGCCCCCCCTTGGGCCGGCGGCCCTTACCCTGACGTGGCTGCGCTGAGGCCGCGGCGACGGTCTCAGCAGCAGGGGCTATCTCAGTGACAGTGACAGAAACGTTAGAGTAAGTGCACTGGGAGGGAGCATAGCCTTGAAAGATAGTTACCGCCGCAGGACCGCTAGACTGAGCGTTAGTGCGCTGACGCGTCTCTATCGCGGACAGGGCGGTGACAAAGGCGGTAAGGGTGAGGTCACCTGGGTGCTGACAAAGGAAGTGGTCGCGGGCAGTGGCAAGGCGGTCAGGGAGGCGTGTGGCAAGGAAGTAAAGGGTAGCGAAAAGCGGCCGGGAATGCAGTGAGCTGTGCCTCAGTCCTAGCAGCGCGGTAGCTAGCCTCAAGTGCGCGGAGATGAGTGGCAAGGTCGGCGACATTGGGGAAGGAAGCAAGATCAGGGAATAGCATGGGGAGGATCAGGCGGCCGGCAGAGGCGGAGGAGGGAGTAGAATAGTGCGCAATGACCGCATCTAAGTATTCTTCGCATTGGCTACAACGGTAAAGCGGGGACGCTCAGAGAGGAAGAGGGCATCACTAATGGCAAGATGTGCGACTTCGTGGCGCGACTCCCAGCAAGGAGGGCAGCATGTGCGTCGGGGCAGGGAAGCTTACCGTCAATATGGACGGCCAGCGAATGGCCGTCCTGGCGCTGACCTGTCACCTGGCGGTGGAGGTCGACGAGCCACGCCTCAGAATCAACCGCACGACCCTCCGCGTCCAGGCGGAACACAGAGTCCGCCATCACCAGCTGCAGCAGCTGACTGCCACTAGAGGGGGAGGAGAGCGACAGAGAGCGGTGGAGAGCGGTGGAGAGCAGTAGAGAGCGGTGGAGAGCAGTGGAGTGCGGTGGAGGGCGGTGGAGACAACCGGCGGTAGCGTCGGCGCAGAGGGGAGCCAAGGCTGGCGGGTCAGAGTGGCAGAGCGGCTTGGCGGCTCAGCGACACGGCGTTACGGCGGCAAGACTCGGCGGGAGCTAGGGCCGGCACTGGCTGGGGCCGGCAGAGCTGGGCCTGGCGAAGCTAGCGACGGTCGGCTAGCAACGGGCGGGTAGCGATGGGCGGGTAGGAACGGCGGGTGGCCAGCGGCGGTGAGCGGCTAGCAGCGGCGGCTAGCGTCGGGCGGCTAGGAACGGGCGGCTAGCGACGGTCGGCTAGCAACGGGCGGGTAGCGATGGGCGGCTAGCAACGGGATACCATCTCAGAGTAACGCATTGACTAGAATGGGAGGTACAGGATGAGCTTGTACTATTGTGTTTTACCTTTTACGAGCATGCACCTATCTAGCCATTAATAACATAGACAAATATGCTTGACACCCTATGCTGCCTCCTACAGGCTGGAACATATGTTGACACACATCTCCGTATGCAGCATATCCAGCTTAGCTGTCACAAGGAGTTTCAACGGCTTGCTATTGCTAAGACAGAGGACGTTGGAAGAATCTAATTTCAGAGATCACGCATGCCTTTCCATGTGAAAATAGTGAATGGTTAGTGTGGCGGAAGCAGTATGAACAATAATGAACGAGGAAAAACATTAGTGTGTCACAAATGGCCCACTATCCAGCAGCACCCAAGCTTTACACGCAACGCAACTCAACTCTGCTCTGCACCTATGATCCTTTCAGCGACAAGGGTGCTTGCTCTCCATCCATCCCCCACTCACTATCCTTTGACTCTGACACCTCCGAGAGCGCGCATTGCACAACCACCATGCTCTCAAGCACACCACAAATCATGCATCACGCATCGTGCTCCTCCCCATGCCGCAGCACCCAGATTGTGCCACGTCTTCATTCAGCATGCTGTGAGGCGCCTCAAGCACTGGTTCAGGCGGCCACCGCCTGCTCCTCCTCCTCCTTGGCAGGCTCCACCCAGCGGCCGTGGTCCTTGATCAGCTTCACCAGCGCGTCCGTCGCCTCCTCCATGGGGATGCCGCGCTGCACCACCTCCTGCAAAGAGAGGGGGAGGGAGGGGGGGAGGTGGTGGGGGGGGGAGAACAAGGGATGCATCGGATAATTGTGAGCAAATGAGGCATGTATGGGTTTGGCTGCGGCCTCCTGCATGGGGATGCCGTGCTGCACCACCTTCTGGGGGAGCAGGTGGGAGGCGTTAAAGCGCGGGACGGGTTGGAGGGAGAGAGGTGCAAGCGGTGGCAAGTCCATCTGGTGCCCTTGCCGTGCTGCAGGGGAGGCTGCACTGCAGGGCACCACCACCCGGGGGGGCCACGCGCACGTGGTGGGAGGGACTTGGCTACATCACGTGAATGGCTTGCAGGGCTCTCAAAGCAACCCGTAGCCTCAGACAGGTGACTCGCTTGGGGATGCCGCGCTGCAGCACCCGCGAGTCGTGAGCCACCTTGCCGACATAGCCAAGGGTACAACCACGCTGCGATGCACGGCCTGGGATTCATTCAATCTATTGCAGAGTGGAGCTCACCTTGCCCACATAGAGGTCGATCTTGCCAGGTGCCCCCCCCACATAGCCGAAGTCAGCGTCAGCCATCTCGCCAGGCCCGTTCACAATGCACCCCATGATGGCGATCTGGCGAGGCAGGCAAGGGGGTTGCAGAAATGAGTTGACGGGAGCGGGCAATTAGGAGGAACACTAGCCATCTGGTGGGAGCCGTTGACTATGCACCCCATGATGGCAATAAGGTGGGAGACAGAGGGACGAGGAGGTTTGCAGGGAGAAGGGACAAGAGGTGGGGGGGGAGGGGATGGGAAACCAATCAGCCATGAGGGAACACAAGAATAACACGGAAAGCGAGAAAGGGCTGGAGGAGATCTGAGTGGGACGGAGGGCGGCACGGGAAAGAGTGTCGAAGAGTCAAGGGGATGAGTGGATTGAGTGGCACGACTAAACAATGTGAGGGCAGAGAGAGGGCTGAACTCACAGCGACGCCAGGCAGGTGGGAGGTGCGCTCGCGGATGGAGGCAGTGACTTCCTGCAGGTCAAACAGCGTGCGCCCGCACGACGGGCACGACACAAACTCCTGGTGGTGGGAAGCCGGGGGCGGGGGGCGCAGGGGGGGAGTGGGGGGATGGTTTGGGGGTGTTGGGGGGGGTGGGTGTGTGGAGAAGGGGGAAGAGATGACGGGCGATGAGATGCGTCGGAATGGCAGCTGCTGCTGCATGGGTGGGCCTTGCGAGGAAAGCAGTTGAAATCGCATCGTGTGAGACAACTGGCCCTCACCGTCTTGCTGTTGCACATCCTGCACCCCTGCAGCATGCGAGCCCGCGTGGTGTTTAGAGCGGCACATGGAAGGCTTGAGGCTCTTCCAGACGTGGCCCTATCACCTTGGATTCTCGCCGCTTACCGTCTTGGTGTTCCTCATGCGGCAGCCCTGCAGCATGCCGAAGGACGTGTTGCGCAGGAACTCCATGTCGTGGGCGGGCGCCTCCAGCAGCACGCCGTCGCCCAGCCCGTCCACCTGGAAGGGTGGCCATCAGGGAAGGAGGGGCGATGAGAGGGAAGAGGGGTGGTGAGGGGGAGGTAGGGTGCTGAGAGAAGGGGCAGGAACTCCATGTCGTGGGCGGGCACCTCCTTCAGCACACCGTCGCCCCGCCCGTCCACCTGGCATGCGTGTGTGTGTGTATGTGGGTGCGTGCGTGCGTGCGTGCGTGCGTGCGTGTGTGTGTGTGTGTGTGTTGGGGGGAGGCAGTAGGCAGGGAGGGTAAGTGAGAGGCAGGGATTACTCGAGCTCAGTCCTGGCTAGTCACCTCCATTCGGCCAAGTGGCGAGGCGAGTGCTAGGATAGTGGGCACTGTAATCAGTTCCGACAGAGCACCATCTGCAATGTGCTATTGGTGATATAGCTTTATTCATCACATGCAGCATAATATGACCCATGGCATGGCATGGCATGGTATGTCTCACCAGCAGAGCACCGGCCTCAGCACCGGATTGCAGCACGAGGTCATCCCTGGGAGAAGAGAAGAGAAGAGAAGTGAAGAGAAGAGAGGGCAATCGGGGGGGTGCAGACAAGACAGATCAAGAGTGTTATCACACGGATTGGGAAGCAAGTGCTGTGTGGTGATGGATTGGGGGCAAGGGAATGAGGGGCGGGAATGAGGGGCGGGAATGGGAGGAAACGCAGTTTGCAGAGAGCAAATTGAGAAGCGGAGAGGTTGAACGGAGCGGTCGTACTTGGAAGTGCCATCGGGGAAGCGGATGTGGTGGATGACAGGTGTCGTGATGTTATTGGTCTGGAGGAACTCAAACAGCCTGAAGGGGACATGTGGAACGCAGGCAACGAGCGCACAGGGGAGGAGAGGGATGTAGCCAGACTGACAGGAGCAATAGCAACTTGCACGACTGAGCGTCTCAAGGCGTCCACGAGAACATGTGACGCTGGCCTGCGGCTGGCATGCATGCGGGCCGCAGGTGACCGCACTGTTGGCTGCCTGAGGCGGCACATGCGCTGGAGTGCGCACAGAGGAATGGTGCAGCAGCATGCGCCCATGCACCCATGCACCCCCCATGCCCTCATGCACCCACGCACACATGCGCTTGCACCCATGCACCCCCCATGCCCTCATGCACCCACGCACACATGCGGTTGCTCCCATGCACGCACCCGTGCACCCATGCGCCCACGACTGAGACCCTGACCTGCGGCTGGCGTGCACGCGGCTGAGTGTGCAGTCCTCTGCCTGCGGCGGCACGTGCGCCAGCAGCATCACGGCGTCCAGCCCCACCAGCGCCTGCAGCTCCTCCTCAGCCTCGTCGCCCTGCAGAGTCACGGCAAAGCGGGCAGCGCCTGGTGGGGGAGGGGAGGTAGGGAGGCGAGAAGAGAGCGCGGCACGGCACATGAAACAGCAGCGCCACTGCATCCAGCGCCCACTAGTGTCTTGAGCTCCTCCTCGTTCTCATCGCCCTGCACAGTGACTGCAAAGCGGGCAACGCCAGAATGAGCAGAGACGAGGCAGAGACAGGACACAGCAGAGGCGGCAGGAGTCTAGGAGAATCGGACGAGATGACAGATGCATGCGCAGGTGCAGGTGCTTGTGTGCGCCCAGCTTGGCGTGCTCGATGGAAATAAGAGCTGGGGAGGGGAGGGGAGGGGAGGGGAGGGGAGGGGGGTGGGCTGCGACTGAGCAGCTCAGTAACAGCAAGATAACCTCCTAAATTACCAAGGACAAATATATTCAATTCAACTAACCCTGCGGCAGGTGCTTGTGTGCGCCCAGCTTGGCATGCTCGAGGGAGATGAGAGCCACGGCGTTGGGGAGGGAAGGGGAGGGACGGGGCGTGGGCTGCGACAGAGCACCAAAGAAACAAAAGCGTCACCTCCTGAACTCTGGAGGGCACATGCATTCCACTAACCCTGTGGCAAGTGCTTGTGTGCACCCAGCTTGGCTTGCTCCAGAGTAATGAGGGCAACGGCGTTGGGGAGAGGCGAGGCTGAGAGGGCTTCAACTGGCACCAGCACGCCCACCCCCACCTCCTGCAGCCGCCGCAGAGCCAGGCGCTGGGTGGGGGTTAGGGAAGATGGGGGGAGCAGGGGTGTAAGGGGAGAGGGGAAAAAGTCGGCGAGAGGCAATAAGATGGGGCAAGGCTGAGTTGGCTTGAACTGGCACACGCACGTGCATCGCCACTTCCTGCAGCCGCCTCAGGGGTACACGCTACATGTCGAGGAGCGGGGGGAAGGTGAGGGGCAAAGAAGAGGGACCAAAGCGAAATTCAAGCACCCAACGTCCTGCAGCCGAGGTAGAGTCAGGCGGCGGTGCTCAGAGAGACAAGGATGGCAGGTAGAGCAGAGACGATGGTAGCAAGGATGGCAGGTAGAGCAGAGTCGATGGTAGCAAGGATGGCAGGTAGAGCAGAGACGATGGTAGCAAGGATGGCAGGTAGAGCAGAGACGATGGTAGCAAGGATGGCAGGTAGAGCAGAGACGATGGTAGCAAGGATGGCAGGTAGAGCAGAGACGATGGTAGCAAGGATGGCAGGTAGAGCAGAGACGATGGTAGCAAGGATGGCAGGTAGAGCAGAGACGATGGTAGCAAGGATGGCAGGTAGAGCAGAGACGATGGTAGCAAGGATGGCAGGTAGAGCAGAGACGATGGTAGCAAGGATGGCAGGTAGAGCAGAGACGATGGTAGCAAGGATGGCAGGAAAGAGAAGAGGAGATTGGAGCGCATCGAGAGAAACCACATCGTCTCCTGCAGCCGACATAACCAGGCAGTGTTGAGATTGAAAGTAAG